ATTCGTTGAAAGTGAACAACAACGTATTAATGAATTACAATCGAAATTCAACAACACCAACACACCAATGGAATCTGACACCGATCAAAGTAATAACAACGATGCATTACGAGAAGAAAATCAAATGCTCAAAGAAAAAATCGGCCAACTCGAATTACAAATTGGGAATCTCACTCGTGAAATTTCGACTTTGAACAACAATTTTTCTCAATTGTTACAAAAATACAATACACAATCCGTTAACACGGATCCAAAGTCCATACGAATCCAAAACGTCACACACACGCATAACAACACAACACCAAATGTGAACACTCAACAACACACAGTGCCTCGCTCTGCTCCAGCCAACAACAACATTCAGCCGACTAAGCAGAAAATCATCAACCATTTGAACGCAACGAGTTCAACGTTCGTACCGAACTCGGGCGATTCATTCACAACAAACACAACAAACACATCACCACGAGTGAATGATGATTCTAATCCGATTTCAAATTCAACAACAACACAATTCAAAAAGAACAAAAAAGTGCCACCATTCATGGTTTTAGCTGACTCAAATTCAGAACTGAAAAACCAATTCAACGTCACATGCAAAACAAACTCATATTGCATCGAAGCTGCAGGAAAGGAGAACAATAAACTCAAATGGCGCGTCAGCTGTATTGATATAGAAACATACAAATTGATTGGAAATATTTTAAAAACACGAAATTACAACTTCAACACATTCGCTGTGAAAGAATTGATCGGGCAACATAGCCTATATCACACACCAATAGATATAGTTACGGTTTTTTCTTTTTCTTTTCCCGTATTTATTAAAAACTAACACATTAAATTAATAAATACCGAACCAAAAAGTTTGCGAGCAAACATCAACATTTTCATTAGAATTAGTTCATAAAACATATCTTGTAACTAGATTTAAGCAAAAATAAAATAAAGTTACGCTTTTGAAAAAAAAAAAAAGAGGTGACAGCGGTAGCCTGCTTAAATATTTCTCAAACAATGAAACAGCCTCGGTCAAAGTAGTTGGCACTGTATGGTTTGGTGTCGCTTACTATTGGGATTGGATCAAACCAATCGTTTGGCCAAATTTGTAAAACACCCATTGATATTCGAACGAAAATACATCGCTGGCCGAAAGTCAAAACGAAAGCAAAATTTTAAAAGAGAAATATGTCAGGAGGTTGTAAATGAAACAAAATGCATATGATTAAAAACGATGTAAGCAACAATTCGTTTGTTAAATTTTATTTTGCTAATATTCCATCTGTTATGATGCGCGTTCAATTCGAAAATGCAATCGACTAAAAAATGTTTTTTTCCTATTTTCGATTGAAGCATAAAATAATCGATAAAATCATTGATTCTAATAGATTCATACAATTTGTTATTCATTCTTTGTGTTTTTTTTTATGTGTAGCTTATTTTCATTCAAAGTTTTCAATCTAACATAATTATTGTGGATGCATTTTAAATCTAATGACTCTCTAACATGTTACGATGTGTTTCTATCGCATAAAATGTTTTATTTTATTTTTATTTTTTTGTGTTAATTTATATATTTATATTGTTATTATCATTCACACAATCTAACGGTTAACGATATTATAAATTCAACAGCTAACAACAGCACACGAACGATCACTATTTCTATATAGCCTTTCGTCATAAATTATTTATTTATCATTTTTGTTGTTTTTGTTTACTTCTATAATTGTAATAATAGTAATAGTGTTTCATATTTGGTGCTTAGGCTACAGCTAATGTTAACATTTCAATATAAATTTTTGGTTTGTTTTATTAATTAGATGTTAAAAAAGATGTTGTTCCTTCTACAAGTTATTTTTGTGCTTCTATTGTTGTTATTTATTTTTGTTAAAAAAAAGTCCTCTTTCGGTCTCATCGCTCACGAGACTGACCGACTGGTGAAATGCTTTTAAATTAGAGTGTCTTCTTCATCTTGCGTTTCGAATAGCATCAACAGTGAGTGCTGTGATAGTGAACGTGTCATATTTTGTGGAATACCGTAGGTTAATGAGCTGTCAGGTGAAAGTAGGCCGGTTTGAAGACTATTGTTATCACTTATCACGATAGCCAGACGTCAATGATGTTTGTGACACTGAATCCCATGACAAATCAGCGGCTATGGCAGTCGGTTTTGGCGGTTGCATTTCGGATTGATCCGATGATTGATTCTGAAATTGAATTAAGCACACAAACACACAACTCAATAAATGATGACATTCAAATTGAATATTGTGCATACCTCTTGGCCAGCTTGTGATGATGATGGTGGTTGTCTTCCGCGTCGACTGCGAAACGTTTTACGGCTGCTTGCTTTGGATCGTTGCAATCGTGATGGTTTATTATTTTCACCTGAACTATATTCGGTCGGACTTTCTAAGGGCGTTGTCGACGTTTCACCAGACGAATGCTTAAATTCAACCGACGAAACAAAACGCAATCGTGGCGGTTGCATTTTCCATGAATTTTGCTGTTGCAACGACATTGAATGCGTTAGATGAGGAACTGTTGTCGCTTCCGATATGCTACCAACGGATGAACCACCTAGTACCGTTGATACCGAATACAGGTCGTGAATCGATGTGATATAGGGACGATAAATGCGATGTGGAATGTTGGCCACCGGTAAACAATGAAATTAATTATTGAGGGCCGTTATTGATGCTTCGGTGGTTCAGATGGCGGTGGAATTTGTGATACTTCACGTTTTGATGGTTAACCGAACCGCCGGAATCAGAGAGATCTAATATTTTATACATATACCGATTGATGATATTTTTCAGGTTTTATGATGTTTGAATAACCTTTTGCGTGTCGGTAATAAGCTATAATGAATAATCATTGGCAGTGAGTCACTGTAACATATTGTAATCGTAAATGTGAATGATTAAAATGAAAGAAGACAAAGACCCGTGAAAGTGATATGATGTAATAGTTTCAAATCTACACCGGTTAATAACATGTGTTTACTCATTTTTTTTACAGAGTTGTTCGCTAGATTGACTGGTGTAAAGAATTTCTGGGGCCGAAATAAGGGAATTTGTCGAGCATGGCTTTTAAACGATCCATACATTTATCTAACAGAAGCATCAAAAATTGAGGTATTATAATTTTTAATCAGTTTTTTTTATCATTGATTTATTATATGCATCTCGAGATCATCGCCGATGCGGAACTAACTAATTTGTTTAATTTGATGCAAACATAAACACATTATTCAATCGTCTGTCTTGTTTACGTTCACGTTTGTAGGTAATCATGTCGAGTCCAAAGCACATTGACAAAAGTCAAGATTACGATTACCTGCATCCTTGGTTGGGTACGGGTCTTTTAACATCGCGTGGCAAAAATGGCATGCTCGTCGAAAGGTATGTTTGCTACTATGAAACGCGTCTACGAGGGTTGCTCCATAATTTTTTTTAAAAACATATATAACACAGTTGTTTTTTGTCGAAAATGGTTTTATTGTTTTTCAAAATATTACCCGAGATGATCGATACACTTTTGCATTCGATGAAACCATTTGTCATAGCATTCGTGCCACTCCGAAACTGATATCTCCAAAA